TGAATGTTATCAAAGATGAATGTTATCAAAGGTGAATGTTATCAAAAGGTAAATATTATCAAAGGTAAATATTATCAAAGGTAAATATTATCACACATGATTATCGAAGATGAATGTTATCAAAGGTGAATGTTATCAAAGGTGAATGTTATCAAAGATGAATGTTATCGAAGGTAAATGTTATCACACATGATTATCGAAGATGAATGTTATTAAAGGTGAATGTTTTCGAAGGTAAATATTAAAGGTGAATGTTCTCGAAGGTGAATGTTCTCGAAGGCGAATGTTCTCAAAGGTAAATATTATCGAAGGTGAATATCATCAAATGTGACCGTTATCGCAGGTAAATATTGCAGATAAATATTATCAAAAGTAAGTTATTCAAGGTTAATGTTATTGAGGGTAAATGTTATCTAAGGTAAATATTATCTACGGTAATTATCCAAGGTGAATATCATCAAATGTGAATGTTATCACAGGTAAATATCGCAAGTAAATATTATCGCAGGTAAATATTATCGAAGGTGAATGTTTTTAAAAGTCCAAATGATGGTTTTATTACTTTGAAAGGTAAAAAGCTCAGTTCATCTGTTGCTCACCTCGAAGCAGCTCTCCACGTACTGCAGGACGTAAACGCCACAGTCGCTGAAGTTGTCCTGCTGAGGCACCCGGGGACTTGAGCCCCTCATCACCTCCTTCCCAAAGCTCCTTGGAAAGCCCTTCCGCACCTCCCACTCCACCTCCAAGTACCTGAGACAGAACACACAGCCAGAGGTCAGCACCTGGTCCACTTCCTCCTCTCGTTTCTTCCTCGACAAGTTTTTCAGCATCGGAAAAGGAGAGTAATGGACAGAGTTTGGAGAGCTTTGTAGGTTAGAAGTAAGATTTAGAATTCTATTCTGGATTTGACAGGGAGCCAATGGAGAGAAGCTAAAACTGGAGAGATATGATCTCTCCCAGTAACTCCAGTTAAGACTCTGGCAGCAGCATTTTGGATCAACTGAAGACGTTTTAAAGAAGTATTTGGACACCCAGATAATAAACCATTGCAATAGTCCAGTCTAGACGTGACAAATGCATGGACCAGTTTTTTTATCCATTTTAGAGTAAAAGTTTCAGATCAACAGTTTGTGTGAAAACTAGAAGTCAGATCAAAGAAGTTGTTGAACTGTGAGCAGCAGGAGGTTCTGATGGTACCACAGGTTCTCATGGTTCTACAGGGTTTGATGGGGGAGACATGACAGGTTAAGCTCTGATACAATGGAAGTTAAAGTTTGACCTCTGGGAGTAACCATCAGCAGAGACTCTCTGGAGGGACAGAGATAGAGTTCAGTTCAGTTTATTTATAAAGCACCAGTTCACAACAAAGTTGTCTCAGGGACTTTACAGGAACATTCACATAAAAGCCAGTTAGTAAAGTTCTCTATCTAAGGAATCCAGCAGACAAGTTGAATCTTGGCTTCGTTGCAGTCTCCCATCCTGAGCAAGCACAGTGGAGACAGTGGAAAGGAAAACTCCCTTTAACAGGAAGAAACCTCCAGCAGAACCAGCTCAGGACAAGAGGCCATCTGCTTTGACCGACTGGGTCAAAACTTTATTTCCTGTTTTAAGCTCAAGACATTTCCAGACATGAGAACGCTGAACTAAAGCTGGACCTCAGGGAGCAACACAACCAGTTTCTGGACCCAGTTTCAGTCTGCTTAGACGCAAGTCTGGTTTTGGAAAATGTTGTTCCCATTTAGAGTTAAAATAAAATAAAAGCAGAATCTTTGTTCCAGGACTAACATGGTCTGCATTAATACAGATCATCATCACGGTCATCTCCACCATGAATCAGGCGGCTCTAACGACGAAGAACCAGCTGAAGAAAAATCTCGACAGCTCGTCACCGTCCAACAGTGACTTCTTTAAACTCACTGTTTTATGACATGAACGTGCACTAAACGTGAACCTTTCATGCAGAATTAAAAGCTTGATTTTACAAATGTGATGTTTATCTTTTAGAAAAGATAAAGTCTGGAAGCAACTTTTTACTAATTCTGTTTCTAGACTTGAGAAAGAAAAACCGTTCCACAGACCGTGGAAATATAAAAAGAACTTTAAGTCCAGTGTATGAAGTAATTTTATCGGGTTCTGACCTGATGTCAGGACTTCATTTGTGCACGTTAACGCACAGAGTCTCCCTCGAAAAATTGAAATGTTGAGGATTTGGGTCTGTTCTTCTGGTGCTGATGTAATTTTCATTTCTGAAATTGGCTATCCAAATCAATTTTGTATAAAGATGTGACAACTGATGGATTTCATAGCTCCCGGTCTGACCGTCTGAGAAAGAGGTGGAGTCACCATTTACATCAGAGCGAGCCTGGATTCTCAACTGGTCTCTGCCAAGACAATCCCAAACCAGTTTGGATCCTAGCAGTAAACATGACTTTACAGAGAGGCCAGATCTCATCTGTCGTGGGCTGTTATCCGGGGTCGGGTCGCGGGGGTAGCCTAAGTAGGGAGGCCCAAACTTCCCTCTCCCCAGCCACTTGGGTCAGCTCCTCCGGGGGAATCCCAAAGCGTTATCCAATCCCTCCTACAAGTCAATCTTCAGTAAATCACAGCTTCTCTTTTTCTCCGTTCTCAGTCAGTGAGGTCAATAAACTGTTAAAAGATCTTGATCCTAAAAAATCTGCAGGTCCAGATGAACTTCCACCTTATTTCTTAAGGCTGGCTGCTCATATCATCACAGTCCCTGTGACCCACATCTTCAATCTCTCCATAAGACAAAACTCCATCCCAGACACTTGGAAAACAGCCTTTGTTCTTCCTTTGCTGAAGGGAGGTGACCCCACCTCACTGAACAACTATCGACCAATCTCTAAACTCTGCATTTTAGCCAAGGTTCTAGAAAAACTGATAAACTCTCAAATCAAAAATGACCTGGACTCATTTAACATCTTACCTCCACATCAATCTGGTTTCAGGAAACAACACAGCACAACCACTGCTTCACTGAAGGTTCTTAATGACGTTGTTGAAGCACTGGATGCTAAGGATTATTGTGCTGCACTTTTCTTAGACCTGTCTAAAGCTTTTGACACTGTGGATCATAACATCTTGTGTCATAAACTCTCAGAAATCGGTTTCTCAGATCACACCATTGGTTGGTTCTCTAACTATCTTTCAGACCGGAGGCAATG